TGGCAAATCCTCTGCTGATTTTTAAGTTGGGTTGTCTTTTTATTATTTAGTCACCAGGATTCTTATATTCTAGATGTAAGTCCCTTATTGATAAGTGATTTGCAAATATTTTATTCCATTCTATTGGGTTGTCTTTTCATTTTCGTGATGGTATTCTTTGAAACACAAACATTTTTAATTTTGATAAAGTCCAATTTATCTTTTTTTTTTTTTTTTTTTTTTTTTTTTTTTTTTTTTTTTTTTTTTTTTTTTTTTTGGTCACTTTTGCTTTTGGTGTCATAGCTAAGAAACCATCACCTGATGCAGATCTTGAAGATGTGTTCCTGTGTGTTCTTACAAGAGTTTTTTGGTTCTAGCGTTCACATTTAGATCTTGACCCTTCTCAGATAGTTTTTGTTTATGATGTAAGGTAAGGGTCCATATTCACTCTTTGGCATGTAGATATTCCGTTGTCCTAGCATTGTTTATTGAATGTATGAGCACCTGTGTTAAAAATCACTTGGTGCCTGGGTGGCTCAGTGATCCATTGTTGGTTTTGGCTCAGGTCATGATCTTGTGGCTTTGTGAGGTCAAGCCCCATGTCAGGCTCTGCGCTGGCAGCATGAAACCTGCTTGGGAGTCTGTCTCCCTTTCTCTGCCCATCCCCAACTCGCACTATCTCTGTCTCTCTCAAAGTAAACTTAAAAGAAAAATAAAATTAAAAATATGTTTTAAAAAATCACTTGACCATAAATGTAAAAGGTTTTCCTGGACTGTCCATTCTGTTTTGTTGCTTACCGTTGATTTTTATTTTATTATTGTTATTTTAAGTTTTTATTCATTTTTTAATTCCAGTATAGTTAACATAGAGTGTTATATTACTTTCAAGTGTACAATATAGTGATGCAGCAATTCTGTACAATACTCTGCTCATCAAGATAAGTGCACTCTGAGTCTTCACCTATTTCACCCATTTCACCCACCCACCTCCTCCCTGGTAACCATCTTTTTGTTCTCTATAGTTAAGAACCTGTTTGGGGGATCATCATTGATTTTGAAGAAAAACAATTCAGTCACATTTGCTTCTGTCCTCTCTGCTGCCACACGAATCTGGGCCTTCCATGACCTGCACTTACTCATTATTCAGCCTTTTTTGTGTAGAGCTGCTGGTTGAATACTTCTGAAAGCAGTGGTTTCATCACGTTGCTGCTGGTAGAGGGTAGCCATTGGTGTTCCAGCAAGATCGAATGTGAACTAAACTCCTTGGCCTGTTTCTTGAGGTCCCTCAGCCAGCCCTACCCAAGTCTCCATACTTAACTTCTGTTTCTAAATTCAGATCATCTTCTAATCAATCCTGTTTCTCTTAGGTATCACATCTTCATATTTTATGCCTTGATTCTCCACATTCAGTTCCCTTCCCAGTTTAAAAGATAACACTTTCTCAGCATAATTAGAGACTGTAATAACAAGTTGAGGTACCTTGATCTCTTTCAGATATAGTTTCTTAGAAGAATCACTTCTCTGTCATTCATTTGGCCACTTAATGCATGACCCAGTTCTGGTTTGTCCTGCCTCTGTTACAGTCAAGGTCCTGTACTGGGTGTTGCCTTCAGTTGTTTTGTAACTGTTTTGTTTATATGTAGCTTTTCTTCCTATACATTGTACAAACTCTTTGAGAGTGTAGAGACATTTTATAATCCTTTCACAGGGCTGAATGTGAATGTACATTCAGTATGTAAGGGTCTTTGATCTTTTAATCAAAACCTTTGGGAACCAGATGTATTGGGAGTTGTTTTTAAGATTTTAGAAAGGTTTAAGCTGCATATACCTTGTTACTTAACAGCCCAGTAGCACTCTGGGATAGCCTCTGTTATGACATACATTAAAATGTTTCCTGTTACACCTATTCTCCAGTGGGGTGTAGGGCAGGATCCTATGTTTAAAGATTGCTTTTTCTGTAGCAAAAAGTGAGTTTCCACACTGAATGTGATAGAGAGACTATAAATAGTCTCATATCAGTTCAGGTCAGGTGTGATTTTGCTGCCAAATGAGTTACAGTGAAACAGTTTGAGTAGAGTTTGAGTTTCAGAATTGTGGGTAAGGGATTGTGGAGGGACGTGGGTTCTAAGTATAAGGTGTAATTATAGAGCAGGGACACGCTGTCTCCTCTAATGTGTGGGGACCCAGGCCGGTCTGGACTTCCCTCCTTGATTCTTCGCTGCAGCCTTTTCCTCCCACCCATTTGTCCTTTGACCAGTTCGCTCATGCCACTCCTCTGTCCCCAGATCCCTGGTGTTTTGCCCTGTTTTTGTCCCCAGTGTGCTTGTGGGAAGAAGCTACATATTCCTAAAGTCTCAAGATGATTGCAGAAAGGATGTAATAGTAATTCATTTAGTGTCAAGCTTGGGAAGCCATCACTTTTCTTTTCCCTGCACTACCTTCTCTTCTCTGCAGTGAACACAATGGGGGACCAGTGATGTGGAGGGGGCACCGTGGGGGTGGCATACAGCCATCTGGATGGACTCCTGGCAAGGCAGCCAGGTCTTGGCCTGGATGAAGTTAAGCAATCGTGGCCTGCAGAGAGGTTTCAGATTCATTCAAGACCTTCTGTAATCTGGCTCCAATCTAACTTTGTCAGATTAATGAGTCACCATTGCTCAGACTGAGATTTTATGTTTTTATATTTCTTATTAATTTTTTTCTGTGTAAACTTGCCTATTGAGCATCCCATGAAGAACATATAATTGCTTTTCTGGCTTCATGCATTCCCCTCAACATTTCTCTTTTCTTTTTTTTAAAATTTTTTTTTTTCAATGTTTTTATTTTTATTTTTGGGACAGAGAGAGACAGAGCATGAACGGGGGAGGGGCAGAGAGAGAGGGAGACACAGAATCGGAAACAGGCTCCAGGCTCCGAGCCATCAGCCCAGAGCCTGACGCGGGGCTCGAACTCACGGACCGCGAGATCGTGACCTGGCTGAAGTCGGACGCCCAACCGACTGCGCCACCCAGGGGCCCCTCTTTTCTTTTAAAAAAACCTTTTTTTTAAATCCTTATTTATTTTTGAGAGAGAAAGAGAGAGACAGAGACAGAGAGCATGAGCAGGGGAGGGGCAGAGAGAGAGGAAGACACAGAATCTGAAGCAGGCTTCCGGCTCTGAGCTGTCAGCACAGAGCCCAACGCGGGGCTTGAACTCATGGACCATGAGATCATGACCGGAGCCAAAGTTGGATGCTTAACCGACTGAGCCACACACAGGCGCCCCTCAAACATTTCTCTTATTATGTGACATTTCTCTTATGTGTGTAATTTTACAACATCCTAGTGATAGACTGGTCAGTATTCTGAAACTGGAATTGGACATGACTTGTCTAGAAGCCCATAGTTTTTGTTTTGTGTTGTGTTTTAAAATAACTGCTATTTTTTCACGTGCCTAATGGCTGGTGACCTTGCCAAAAGGAAGCCACATTAGATATGCCATATTTATTTTGAGACACACAGGGTAAGAACCAGGAATCCTCAAATGTTGGAGCTGGAAGGAACATTGCTAATATCATGTTTTATAGATCAGGAAACAAATCAGCTAAAGATACACAGCTAGATAGTGATAGAATCAGAACTCTATTTTTCTTGAAAATTTGCAGCTTTATGTTTCCTCTGCTTGGTTGCTTGGTGTTAGAGCTAAAATTTTCATTTGATTTTTTTTCTCATCTTCTAAGTAAGTTTAATACTCTTTCTGGATTTGGAAAACCTCTGTCTATCTGGTTTCAACGCACAGAAGTGAAAAAAAAATCATTTTGCTTCTTGGTACCACCTTGGTAAAACTATGTTTTCACAAGATGTGTCTAATTAATCAAATGATTAGAAAATTGGTCTATGATTAGAGATTGGATAGCCTCATTTATGCTTAATTTAACTAACAACAAACCAATTTAAAGTGTGCTTTTGGTGTTTAAAGCTCAGTAAGGCTGTATTCTGTTTCCCCATATATATCTCTAACGTGAAGACAAGGTCAGATCACACCATTTAGAACTGGTGGTGGTAAGTGCCACACTTTTTCTGTTAACCTCTGCTGTGTATTGAATAGGAGCAACACTGATTATAGAAAATGATGGAAAAAAAAGAAAAACCAGATGCCAGTTTGAACTTATGAAATTAGAAATTAGGTGTCCCATTGGAGGGGCTTAATTGTTGGAGGAAAAAAACCCAGGGAATTACAGATCATCATTAGAACTCAGAGTTTAAGGAGCTTTGGTTCTTTGTTGTCAATGGAGTGCTTTAAGTTTTCATGAAATGGTTTTGTTGTTGTTGTTGAAGAAACCAGTCACCAAATGGGTTACACATTTATAGTTCTCTAAAAATCATGCCTGTCTCTTCTCACTGAGAAAGAGCTGGGGAGGGGACCTGTGCTCCCCGTAGGTGGGAAGTGCTCTGCCCATTAGGTCCCATCCAGCAGAGTGCTCTCGGTTGGATGTTGGAGTTTCCTATGCTGTTCTCTCATGATATATCTTTGTTTGTGAGTGTGAATCTAATTTAGGTTGTTCTCTGTTTCTTTGTTGTGAATGACCCTGAAAAAGTCCCTTCACTAACTATCCTGGGCCTCACGTTCCACTTGAAATAAGAAGAGATTGAACTGTGCAAATCTCTTCATTTTCTAAGATCCTACCATTTAGCTGAGTACTTTTTTTAATCAGATATTTTTCGTTTAATGTAACAAGAAGTAACAAACCAAAGAAGAAAGAAAGACAAAAAACAAATTGCTTTCAACAACAAAGTCATCACTTTGGCTTGGGTTTCTAGAACTGACAGTCAAGTGTTTATGGAGGTTGTGAGGGGACAGGGAGAATCTAGGGTAGATTTGCTCAGTGCTACCATTTATTCTCAGTTCTGTATGCTCCTTCACGTTTTGGGAGAGTATTTCTATGTTATTTTACAGAAGGAAACAGTCTCACACTACCTAGCCCTAGGCAGGACACGGGGGTCGTTAACTGTCCTGAGCTCCTTAGACTGTTGTCTTTATAGTTTGGTTTGGTATCAGGTGGCACAGAACTTCGTATCCAGTGTAACTCTTCCTGTTCTACTCTTTCAGCTTGGATTTACTTTTGGCAACGTGGTTGGAATGTATCTGGCCCAGAACTATGACGTAAGTGACCATATCTGTGTCCTCCCGTAATTTGTAGTGACTTGTCTTTGTTGAAGTCAGGCATGCCTTCCAGCGTAAACGAAGTCCGTAGGTCTCGGGAAAATGTCCTGAGTTTTGTAGAAGGAGTTTCTGCTGTTTGAAAAATACACCTCACAAAAGCATCTGTCCTCTGTATCACCACAAGAGGGCAAAATCTCATCAATTTAGATGGTCTTATGCTCCTGAGCTGTGCTGGTTAGCCCAGAATAATTAACTACTGACTTAGAGTCTTCTTATATAGTTCTGTGGACAATTATGTGATGAGTGGAAATTTAAGAGTAATTGGATCATCTTTTCAGTTATATCAGACTCATTTTATAGAAGGGGAAGTGGAAAAGCAGGTGACAAAACTGCCCCTACATGGGGCCTCTGGAAAGGTTGTTTTAAAGAGAGGGAAAGGAAGGAAGAGGTGGGAAGAGGGAAGGAAGGGAAATATATTAACTTTTGATTTGTCTGTGGTGAAGCTATTAGTGTGACAAAAGAAATTCTTTGTCAACCTTCACTTGAGTTACATGGTTTTCTAGGCAGGAACTTTATTAATTTATATCACCTTTATTGTTCGTATGCACACCTTCTATTTGGCAGTGGATTGAGGTGGTCAGTGAGTATATAAAAGGAGAAGTCAGAATTTAGCGTCTAGGAGGGAACATACTTCAGTTTACAGCTTCGAGATCCTTCTTATGCAGCCATGAGGCCAAGTCGCTTTCAGAGGAAAATAAAGACTTAACAGCAGCCCTTTGTTGTAGGAGGAAGAGAAGTAAAAGAGTATCGATTAGGTAGCTGCAAAATTATAATCATCTTTTTTCTCTTTAAAGATACCAAATCTGGCTAAAAAACTTGAAGAAATTAAAAAGGACTTGGATGCCAAGAAGAAACCCCCTAGTTCATGAGGCGGACCCAGCACTGCTTTCTGGTTATCCCGATTCTGCTCTTCTGGAGGCCTCCTTACCATCCGAACCAAAAAGCGTTTGTTTTAAATTTCAGCCTCAGCAGTCTTCCTCTCTGCTAGATCCTGTGCTGCCTGAGAGCAACAGCTGAGGCTTCGCATTCAGAACTACCCTTTTCCAACGTCCTCCCCCCTTCCCTTCCTCCTTCCAGCCACTTGGGACGGCCTGACACTGGAATTATGGTGCTTGATTAGTAAACGTGACCTCTCCTTTATTCTTTGGGGTTTCTAGTGTTTTCTAAAGAAAAATTGATGAGTTTTGTATGGCTGATCAGATTTCACAGTCTAACAATTATAATGGGTGTTTAAACATTTGTTACTAAATTACGTTGTTTCACGGTAATTAAAATTAAAGTCCAGAAGCCACTTACTCCTGAATTATCCACTTACTGTATACTGTTATCAGGCAGCTCTATAGCTGCTAATTTAATCATTAATCGATTTGCTACATTGACTGAGAAACTATATCCTGAGAACCCTGTCAGGAACTAGTGAGTTTAAAAATATGTAAAATAATGGCCTTTATCCTCTGTGAAATTCAGTCAAGTATGCACGTTTTTCCATAATGATGTCTTTGATTCAACACTTTTCTCTCAAAAGAATCCTCCTATTTTAAGTGATTATAGGTGCATTTGATGTTACATGATGGATAAATGATAACTTGTCTGTAAAGGAAATATTATGCCTTTTCACATTAAAAAAATGTATTTACATTATAACTTTATAGTAATTCTCATAAGAAAACTTTGAGGGTTTTTGTTTTTGTTTTTCTCCCTGCAATAAAAAATCACCATTGTATGTTGACCCATTGATAGAGACATCTCTCTGCTCCTCATTCAGCAGGGAGAAGCTACTGAAGATGAAACCTCCACCCAAATGCTAAATATTTCCATTATTGATGGGGGTGGGGGGTGAGCATAAAGGCCGCTTTTCGGCTACAGGCAGTGGAAACCTGAACAAGGCAGGAGGGCCCACAGTGAGCACACAAACGGGCTCATTAAGCCATAGGCCCTAACTGACCGATGGGCTACGTACAGCGAGGCGCAGTTCTAAGGATCACCAAAAAAGGGAGAATTCCATCAGTCCTCATACTCCCTTACTCCGCCCTACTGTGACTATAGCCCCTCACCATCGCCTTGTGGTGGACAGTCTCTCTTTTGCTGTCCTGCCTGCTGCTCCCTTGCTCTTTAAAAAAAGAAAAGAGGGGCGCCTGGGTGGCTCAGTCGGTTAAGCGTCCGACTTCGGCTCAGGTCATGATCTCACGGTCCATGAGTTCGAGCCCCACGTCGGGCTCTGTGCTGACCGCTCAGAGCCTGGAGCCTGTTTCAGATTCTGTCTCTCTCTCTCTCTCTCTCTCTCTCTGACCTTCCCCCCATTCATGCTCTGTCTCTCTCTGTCTCAAAAATAAATAAACGTTAAAAAAAAAATAAAATTAAAAAAAAGAAAAGAAATCACCATTGTAATTTGTCAAATGTATAATTAGTCCATTTTTTTTGGTTAAGAAAATGTTTGAATACTTCACTTTTCCCATGGGTCAAGATACAAATGTGATTCAGAATAAAGAGTTTCTCCCACTCTATCCATCAGCAACTAGTTCCTCTTCCTGGAGGCAGGCTCTGTCAAGTTTCCTGTATACTTTGAGGAAGATTCTTTGCCTAAACAAATACATGTGTGTGGTGGGGGAGGGAGGGGAGGTTTACACAAATGATAAACTGTATTGAGTTCACCCCTGGCCTCTTTTATTTTATTTTATTTATTTTATTTTTTAAATGGAGATCATTCCGTATCAGTATGTAAGAAACAAGGAACCTGTTTCCCTCCTTTGGCTCCATGAGATTCTAGTGAATGGATATACCATAACTTACTTAATCTGTTACTGATGAACATTAGGGTTCCTGTCTTTTGCTGTTATAGTGATGACCTTGAACCTAAAGTTATTGTACGTATCTGTGCGGAGTATGGCTGTAAGCTAAATCCTAAAAGTGTAATTTACCCTAACTATAAAGTCTCATTTGATTGTGTGCTTTGTTTTAGGGGACTTGTTGGGCAGCTCACTGATAATGCCATTTCTGAAGAAATTTTAGCAGAATCTGTAAACTGGAAGAGTAACTTAGACACCTTTATTCAGGCAGTGATGACATTGGTACTGCGTGATTATAAGACAGAAGGTTCTGTTTTCTCTTTGAAAACGGGGATCTCTCGTACATGGGTATGGGTTTTATCCGTGGCAGCTTGTCCTGGCGTGTGATACGGGTGGCGTGAAAACAGCGTATTATGGTGTGACTTCACCCTAGGAGTGAGATCATGGGCAAGCGTCTGATATTTCTGACACTGTTGTATTCTCTGTAAGATGTGGACGCAATATCTACCTCATACGCTCACATGAGAAACAGGTGAGATAATGTACGTGGTGTGTTACACAGTGCTTTGCAAATTTCCCAATAAATAACAGATACTGGCCCAAACACGCTGCTTTTGGTCACAATACTTTATTTTTCTGCAGTTGCTTTTGGAACCAGTTTATGAACCATGCAGACTTTGTCATTACTCTGTGGTCGCTCTCCTGGTTGCTGATGAAAATCTAGAATACCTACCTTGATCACACTTCCTGGCTCGTAAGATTTGATCTTGAATGACTGAATTGTTTAGCAGAATGAAATACAGCCTCGAAGGATAAAGTTTTACTGCTTTTGAGGGTGTTCAAAATGCCACAAGCTTAGAAAGGCAACTTAAATGTTAGGAGATTAGGTCTCTCTCTATTACGCCTTGTAAACCGAGCACATTGGGATTTAGGGCTTCCCTCAGGAGTGACTCTTACCCTTGCTTACCGGTGGGGAGCCATCCAGCAAATCCATTCCTGTATTTGCCTTCACCATAGAAACTGCTCCTCAGTGAATACCGGCTGCCTCTGTGCTCCCCATTCAGATACCCTCTTCTAGTTAGGTTCTTGGAGCAGTGAAAAGGGGCTCGGAGTTCTCAGGCAAGGTTATCCTCACTGAGAGAGGAGGAGCCCAGAACCATCACAGGTGTTGGGGGGGTAGTTGAAACGTTGCAACGCGAGTGAGGGGTGCAGCTACTGTGATTGTGGCACCAAGAGTCACGTTCCCTGAGTGTTGTTACGCAGGGACTCTTGCCTCACACACCCTCAGAGGGATGGGAAGAGTCCCTGCAAGACATACTCGTCTTCTCCTTTTAAAAATGTTGGAAAACTCCTCTGTCAACGTGGCTTAGGAAAACTTCTTGCCCTACCTGATCGTAAAAGGAAGATGACTCACGTGTGCAAAATATGACTTCAGGGTTGATGTTGGGAACTTCATAAAGACATTGGACCTGACAAGTTTATCCTTAAACCACAATCCTCCCAAACAAAGGGAGAGAAAAACCCAAACAACCTCATTTAACATCATCAAAAGGGGTATTAAATATTTCAGGAGTTGAAGTTGCCATTGATGTCTTCAGTGGACTTTTCTAGTGATTTGGTGTTTTAGGCAATTGAGCAGAGACCTGCTGCTGATTTAGAGGAACGATTCATTTTTTCTAGCCCATTTGTAGGCCCATTTTTTCAGTTTCCATTTGTAGGACGGTAGAGGAAGTTACAGCGTGTGGTTTCTCTAGCTGTCTGTGCATACGGGTTCACAGAGCATATGTGCACGTGCATGTTTTCATTTCCGCGGAGTACAGTCCCTAGATACAAGGCTGGTGTTTGTTTTTCTGCTGAGGTCTCCTGCCTTTTTAATGCTTTTTCTGTTAGTCCCCCTGAAGGAACTCTACAGACTGTCCTGGAGCAAATGAGGCTTTTTCTTAAACTGCCCATCTTGGGCTTTGCACGTAGCATTTCCATTCCTTACTCGTGAATGAGTCTTTTTTCCCTACTGACCGTTAGGGCCTTGTGGAAGGCCACACGGTGGCAAAGGGAAAATATTCGGAGATCTTGCCTGGTGTAATAGGGGAGCTCGTGACACTCAGATTTTCTTGTTTACGCCTTTTCTGAATCTCCATGTGCCATATTTCGTCAAATACATTTTTTTTACAAGGTGCTGGGAAACACCGGAACACTGAGGTTTTATGGAAGGTGCACAGGGTGGGGCATTGCAAAACCTGAGTCGCGGGCCCATGTGGATCGTTGCCTCTGTGGTAAGGCCTTATGCAAGGTGCCGTGTGGTTGCATCATTTTTGCGTGTGCAATTGTAAAAGATCAGGACAAGAAAGAGTCACCGTGTAAATTGCTGGGCAGTTGTGCTAAGAATTCATTTAGTGAGGGCAGCCACGGGATGGGTTACACGTGTACTTGGTCTCTCTCGCCTTTGTGTTCTAACGGTTTGAACATCTTGCTATATACTGAGAGTGATTCTAGTGTTTAGATGTACTTTTTCTTTTTCTTTTTTTTTTTTTTTAATTTTTTTTTTCAACGTTTATTTATTTTTTTGGGACAGAGAGAGACAGAGCATGAACGGGGGAGGGGCAGAGAGAGAGGGAGACACAGAATCGGAAACAGGCTCCAGGCTCTGAGCCATCAGCCCAGAGCCCGACGCGGGGCTCGAACTCCCGGACCGCGAGATCGTGACCTGGCTGAAGTCGGACGCTTAACCGACTGCGCCACCCAGGCGCCCCTAGATGTACTTTTTCAAACGTGGCCCCTAAGTGTGAAGCCAACTACGTGATTTAGTATGCAGCTGAAGAAACAGAGATCTGTTCTCACGTTGGAGGGAAAACTAGCTGTGTTTTCTTTACTAAAAGGTGGTTCACGAGTCTTTGCCATGTAAATGCTAACATAAAAGATTGTGTACCATGTCCTTCGTGGGTGACTAAAAGGAATTTCAAAGGCAATTTCCAAAGGCAATTAGGCAAGTTTGATACATAATTGACTTGAAAATAAGGTGCAGTGAAGTGTCTTTGTTTCTCAGTCATCTATCAAAGGAGCAGGTATAAGGTGGTCACTTACTGCTTTCTTTTTAACATTGTGATGTTAGAAGATAAAAGTCAAATTGTAACATATTTGCAAGAGACAACTCAGGAGAGCCTTTAGTTAGTGTCCATCAGTGATGACAAGGGGTCGTGAGTCGTTTCTGACCTGATCTCTGGTGTTGGGAGAGAGCAGTGCTGCTTTTCAGAACGGTCAGTAGACCGGACTGAAATAAATGCTCTTTCTCAACTGGCCAGTCGAGTGCACTGGCTCCTGGAAGCTTCCGGCAGCATCTGCCGTGGGGAGCGGCACTGCTTCCCCTTTAGGAGTGAGTGCGGTTCTCAAACGCTCAATGGCCAATGATTCAGGTCAGCTTAATTCTAAGTCAACGCTTCCTTCTCTTTTTTTTTTACTTGTTTATACTCCTGGAATCTTATTATTTGCACCTTTTTCTCACTGTCTGACCTAGAGGCTTGGGGGTCCAAGTTCTGTAATTGACATTTGACACTTTGGCAGCCATGACAATACGCTAACACCCTGCCTCTTCTGAACATTTCATAGCAAGAGAACTATGCAGATTCCATCAAAGCAGCCATAGCGTATATTACACGGGGATTTTATTTGGGCTCAGGAGGTCTTTATTTTCATCACTAGTCACATGATGTGGCCTAAGCTCATTGATGCAGAAGAAGCAGTAATATCCGCGGTTTAATCCTGTCAGTTTCGTTGTGGTCAGAGCACGCAAGTGCTGACCGGCACAAAAGAAATGTTATAATTCACAGACCCTTGATAAACTAAGAGAGCGACTTCACTGATAAGTTATTGTGGGGAAACCGCCCATGCTGTCAGTAATAACTTAAAATCAAGTAAAACAATGTAGCAGCTCTAGGGTGTACCTTTTCCAGTAAGACCTACTTAGCAAGTAACTGGTGGTAGAAATCAGAACTATATAATGTCTCCAAGCCAGGGGGATTGGGAGCTATATCCAGTCATGGAGCAGGAACATCTGTCATGGAGAAAACGGCCTGGTTTTTCAAGAGGAAGAAGGAGGCCTTGATTTCCAAAGTGATTTTTTCTCACAGGAAACATTTATTAAGTAGTTAGTTTACTATATTGTATGAGTTGCGGGGGACTTGAAGAGACGTAAGACGTCTCTCCCCTCGAGGGGCTCCCTGTAGGAAGTGGCTGGTGTGTGAGGCCTTCTGTACTTGCTTTCTCAAGAACAAACTACCCATTACATCCAAAAGAAAGCCAGTCAGATATCGCTAATAGCACTGTGGTCTTATTGATAGTTTTGGCCTTTTTAATAAGACAGGTATGGAAGTTTTTTCTCCCTCCCAACTCAACCAATGCAGTGGTATTGATGATTAGTGGAAAGCGAAGAGAGAGACAGGTGCCCCCCCGCTCTCCAAAAGTAGAGAATTCCTACGAAACCTTCCATAAGCCAAAATGACATAAAGCGAAGAGGCAATTGCCATTAATTTACATGGAAAGACGTTTGAGCGTTTCCAGACCTCTGCAATAACCTCTCTTAGGCTTCCCTGATACCTTAGGAACTTCTTGCTGACAGGCGTGCAAAGTAAATGGGCATACAGCACAGACGCTCGCGGATGCAGCTCGCAGCTCTGGCAGCTCCGTGCAGAGACGCTGGGTGCAGTTCCCCGGGAGGCGGCCCAGCGGCACCACTCCAGTTGCTCAGGTTGCGCACTGCCCCTCAAAGGGCTCGCCGCAAAACCACTGAACACTACTTGGACTCTTCTCGGAAATCCAAAAATCCTCTTCAGATTTCCTCCGGTTAGCGAAAACAGGTACTCACGTGAGTCTTTTGTAAAAGCAAAGTGGCGTAACCAGAACTTTTGAAAAGCCGGGGATACCTGTACTGATTTCAGTGTGTCTTCTGTCTCTACTTCTTTTTCCTTGGACAAAGAGAACAGTACAAGCCTCTTTCTAAAGGGGGACACTATTTCTTTATGGGAATTTGGTGCCAAGGGTAAAGAGAAGCCATTGAAGGGAGCTGCTTAGAAGGGAATCAGAGTAGTAAGAAAAGAGTACTGATCGCCACAAAGAGGACTTGCCAAGATCGCCTTTTTGTGGTGAGAACTTAGGATAGAAACGCTGAGGAGAAGGTTCCAGGGGAAGATTTTCCTCCGAAAGAGGAGATGTGACTACACAGGTGGGATGATTTGATTTCTTCTCCAACTCCTAAAAAGGGGTTAAGGTATTAATAACATGGAAGCCAGTGAGGGTAGTTTGTGAGGCTTAGTTAGCCTCTGAGGGGTGACTAAGTCAGCCTTTCTGCTCTTCCTGTCCTCAGAAAGACCTGGAGAGCCCAAGATACAGGACGTGAGAACGATGCTAGGTTTTCCTGAACTACAGTGCTGAGGAAGGAGGGCGGAGAAGAAGGCACTAACGTCCCAGCATCGGAGGCTTCCTGCTCGTCACCTGAGGTGGCAGGCTGTGGAATCTTCTGATGGGGGTTGTGTGCTCCTGGCGGCTTTCTTGGTCAGATTCTGTTCGGCGCTCGTAGCTCCTCTGGCTGGGCTGTGTGCCCGCTTGTGTCAGGCCTGATCAGTGAGGTTACTGACCTTAGCCCAGGCTGGAAAATTGTCCAAGTGGAAGAGGCTAACTCCCCATGTGTTGATGGCCACCATCACGATCACCAGGCCAATGACATTGACCCCCAGGCCAGCTTTCACCTGTAGGACACAAACCAAGCCCACCCAAGTCACTGAGCGGGCAGCAGCACAGACCCCGGGTGCTCCTCTGTGCCCCCCGCCCAAGGGTTGGCGCTGGTCTGTCGCAGTCGCTGCCTGGGATCCGTAGTGTTGCACGAAGGGTGTCTTGGGAGCGTGGCAGGATGGGAGAGGCCACTAGAACCGTCTCCACCTGCAGTGCCGCCACTCCCAGTGGAGGCCTGGCACGTGTGTGCTTGGAACACCAGGTCTCCGTTTGTTAAGACTCACGCCAAGCAGGGGGCCCGCGTGACAGGGAAGTGCATTAAGGCGGGAACTTCTCGGAACCTTTAACGTGCTGATACGTAGGGGGACCTGTAGGAGAGGCCAGGTTCTACAAAGCCTTTGCCACTGTTAACTGTGCTTTCCTTCCCAAAGGAACGGCCTACGGAAGGTTGTGTACGTGGGGTTCACGTGGAGAACCAGGCCGGCTGCCTCTGCTCAGCCCTTCGGCGGGAGAGTGACGCGGGCGAGCTAGTTTTGCTTCTTTCCGCTGAGGGGATGTCGCCTCCACGACTCAGCCCTCCCGTTTCTGCCACGGAACTGAGCCTCACAGGCAGACGGGGGGTGTGGGGCAAGATGGATGGCCGAGCCAGGGCCAGATGGAAAAATGTACAGTAAGGAGGGCTGGCGTTAAGTTGGCAAAGCTGTGAGGAGATGGTTCCAGGCAAGTGACTAGATGTGTTGGCTCCCTGCTTTGTGGGCAGGGCCCTGGACGTATTAATCGGCCTTGCCCCCTGGGCTTTGGGCGTGGAGGGCCGCCCCTGTCTCCTAGCAGAGGGGGCAGGTTCTAAAGGGGCTGATCCTTTAGAAGGAACCATGTAGAACATTTGGTTGGCACCCCCACCTTTTGAAGATGAGGACATTGAAGTCTCGAGTCAGCGCCCAGGACTAGCTCACTTCTTGTCACCTGGTGCCTTTGAAAGGCGCTGTCTCTGATCACTCGATTCCAGGGTAGAAGGTGCGGGGGGATGGGGTGAGTGGTGGGGGCACCCGGGAGAGTTAGCTGGGGGGACAAGAGAGTTGGGGCCGAGCTCAACTCTCTTGAGCAGACAGGGTCGCGCAGTAAGAGATTGGGGGGGGGGGGGATGGCGGTGACCTCCCTTCCCCGAAGTATTACAGAGCGCTTAGGTGAGCGGGTTGAAAGCTGGAAAGTATCTGAATGTCTGCTCCTGGCCTGGAGCTCTTGCTTCCTTTCCTCCATTTGATATTTACAGGGCCGCGGAGAACGAGTTTGGACTCGAGTGGAAAACAATTGGTGAGGCCCTCCCTGTGCCGTCACCCCTTTCCCTTTCCCCTGGGCCCCTGTGGTGTCTCCCACTCGGCTCCCATGAGTAAGCCAGCAGCTTTTTGAACGAACATGCCTGCTGGTCCAGTGAAGAAACGGAGGCAAAGACTCGTGCCTCACCCCACTGGGCTGCGTCTCGTGTCTGTCCCAGCTTTGTCTGTCCGTGTACCCACTGTCTCCCAGAGTAGGGGGGCAGAGGACGTGGTTGCTATTCTTGGTGCCTGTGGGCCAACCGAAAGCCTTCTAACCAGCACCATTCTTTCTACCACACCGCACGGGGTGTTGGCAGACCACAGGCGCTGCCACAAAATGATAAAGTTCAGGAGAAGTCCTCCCGGCTGCCGGGGCTGGCGGGAAGAGGGCGGCCGCGACTCACCATATCTTTGATCTGGCAGTGCCCATAGCTGAAGACGATGGCGTTGGGGGGATTGCCCACGGGCAGCATCACTGCAAAGGAGATGCACATGGTGACTGGGATCAGGGTGTAGAGTGGATTAATGTGCAGCGTTTCGGACTAGGAGAGGAGAGAATTCACAGACACGTTAGCGTCGAGATTACGCTGGCGTTTCTTGGGCTCAGCATCGCAGGCACGCTTTCAGTGATGGTTTGGTGTTCGCTAACCTCGGCTGGAGACCACGCGCTGGGGGTAGTTAAATCACTACCCTCAAGGGCATACAGCGCTGGGCAACCCAAATGGGCTCATGCATGCTGCTCCCTCTCTCCCCATAGAAACATGGGCCTTAAGTTCCCTCCTGGAAGGGATGTTTCATTTCTTGGGGCTGGTCTAATTTTACTCCTTAGCTGAGAGATTCATCCTTCGAGCTCAAATCTCATGAATAAGCTGCTTTGATTGGAGTGGGGGTCCTTCATCCTTGGGGTGCAGAACCAAGGTTGTTTGGCTTTTTTTCTAAGTAAGATGTTTGCTTTGCATGGGATTTGAACCCATGGCCTTGCCCTCGTCGTTGAGGGGTTTTGACTAAGTGCCCTCCCGTGCTCACACAGGTGACGGAGGGAGACATCTGAGCAATGAGCAGAGAGAGTGACCGGGGGTAGTTTGGGGTTAAAAAGAGCTGAAAGTTATCATTTTGTGGGGGATGGGGAGGAGCCTTTGTTTTCTAGGTTGCAGCCCGTGGTTGGGACAGACGCAGCATCGTGTCTGGGGCGTTACTTTGGGCACTGCTCAGCCGGGCTAAGATCTGGCAGTTGCTCTCCTCCCCTGGTCCGTCAGTAACAGACTGTCCTGAGACCGTGGGGTAAGGCTGGCGTTGCCCTCAATTCTCAGACTCTCCTGGACAGAGAGATTGGGGGGAGGTGGTGATGCTGCAGTCTCGGTCTTTACAGCTGAATGTGCTCCTGGGGGCATTTTGCCTCCATTTTCTGTAGTTATTCCTCCTGCCCTCCTGTTACGTCTTAGGACAGAAAGAAATTCGATGGTGGTGAGGAATTGGAATCCTAGGGTTTTAAAGTTACTTTGTCCATTCAGAACTGCCTCAAAACTAATCCTGTCTTTCGGAAAGGATTTTCTAGAAGCCTTGCTACAATCTGTTAATTTATTGATTTACTTCTCCGTGGCTCTTTGAAAGACGTCATCTCCAAACTATGGCTTGAGCACCAATCAGTGAAGGCCATGGCAATGACCAGAGGAGAGGGGCAGCCATGGAACTGCTCCCTGGGCCCGGGGGAGCCCATCTGGACACCTGGGAGCCCTGCCCCACTCACCAGGCTGCATAGGATAGGCAGGAAGATGGTGATGGTGGCTGGGTTGCTCACAAACTCTGTGACAATGGACACCAGGATGCATGCCAACAGGGTGATGGCCCACGGTGGGAGGCTACTCAGAGACAACATCTGGTGCCCAATCCATGTGGAGAGGCCAGAGCTCTGCAGGAACACAGGTGATACAATAAGAAGAAAGGAGGAAACACCCATTCCCAATGGAATTCTTAGACTCCAGAAGGTCAGGGATGTGG